TTTTTAGAATAACTTTAATAGATAATGAAGCATAATAAAAATAATAAATAGTATATAAAGAATAACAAAGATATAAGGAAGAAATATAAAAAACTAAAATAATATTAATAAGAAACAAAAATACAAAATAAAGAATATAAAGAAAATATAGTTTAATAAAAAGAATAATAAATAAGAAATAATAAAAATAATTAATTAAATAGAAGATAAATAAAGAAATAATTAAGAAATAAAAAAAAAGAGAATCTAAAAGAAGAATAAAAATATAATAATAAAAAAAATAATAAACATTTAATAATAAATAATAAAGGAAAATATTAAAAAAGATTATATTAAAAATATTTGATGAAAAGATTAAAAATAATTATAAATAATAAGAATAATATTATAATAAAAAAAAAAGTAATTTAATAAATTAAAAGATTCTTAAATAAATATAAAATTAATTTGTAAAATAAGTTTTCTTAATGACAATTAGTAAAAATACATTAAACAAATATAGTTTTTATTAAAACTATTAAACATAAAATATCATACATTTGTAAAATTTGAGTTTTGATAATTATAATAATTAAAAAATTATAAAAAAAGAAATTTTCTTATAATAAACAATTTTATATTTTATTCAAAATACTTCAACAATCATATATCTATATTACTTCAAATTAAATTGTTTATCTAATTTTAATATAAATACTTAAATCTATTATATTTCAAATAATTATTAAATTAATTTTAACTTATTTATTTTATAAATAATATAACAGTCATATTTTTACTATATTTTTATATACAGTGATGTGAAAAAAAAATAGCAATTTTTAAAATTGCAATAGTTATATAACTATTATACCAATCAAAATATATAATTGAAATATATAATATATTATTTTAAAGTTAAGAAGTAGTAGATTTTATTTAAAAAAAATTTATATAAAATTTATTTATCATTTTTCTCAATAATCTTATTACAATGTTATAATATTAAATCTACAAAATCAATTATAAAGCTATTTGGTATTTTTATTTTATTTATCATTTATAAAACTTTTTAATTCACTAAGATTTTTTTGTCTATATAATTCTATATTTCATTTAATAATTATCTAATAGTTTTTAATAAGTTTTAGACTTAAATTATTAAAAGATTAATCCATAATCTTTAAGATATTATTTTTGAAAAATTACTTAATAAAAAACTAAATTACTTAATAAAATAACTAATATACTATCATGCTAAAGATTTTTACATAATATTTACATTTAATTTTCAATTTTTTTAAGATTTAGTGATAGTATTATGTAGAATCCTTATTAATATATGTATTTTAGTAGCACTGTGTATTTCCTATTTTCAGAAATATAATCTATCAAAATTAAGTTTTTTTATCTTGATAAAATTATTTTAAAACTCAATAAACTAAATTTTTTATTAAAGTATAGAAAAAGTTTTATTTTAAAAATAATATCTATATTATAAGACTTTTATTTACATATTTATTTATATATATATGATTAAAATTAAAAAAGTTATAAAATAACAATCTAATATAATTAAAATTACCATTTTTTACACATCACTGTATTTTCATAATATGTATTTTTAATAAAATTTAATAAAATAAGCTTGTATTTCAACATATAATAGAAATATTATGAAAATATTTACTAAATTATTATTAATTCAAAATATATTAAAAATATTTTATTAATATATTATTGAATTATATAAATGCTATCTAATAGTAATATATTTTACATATTTTACAAAAATTATAGATTTTTATAAAGTAACAAATTAAATTGTTTAAAAATAATTCTGTTAATTTAATAACAAAAAAGATTAATATAAAAAGGTATATTTAAATTTATTTTAAATATTTAGCTAATTTTTTTTCTACTTTTCATATTTAGGCTAAAATAAAAGTAATTTTAAAAATTATTAACTTAAAAGATAATTTAAACTATAATAAATTTTTCAATAGTAAGAAAAATACCAAAAAATATTATAGTTTAATATTAAAATATAAATATTTTAACCTTAAATTTATCAGTCTTCTATTGATTAATTAATAAATTAATTAAAATTACTTTATAAATTACATTAGACAGTTCAAATCATTAAGTAAAATGAAAAGTTATGCAATATAATAGTATATCTATAATAAGTATATAAAATAAACAAATAAAATAAATTTTGAATTTAAGTCTATTTGAATTAATAATTTAATTGCCCAATCTATTAATAAATGAGAATCAGTTATTAGTACTATTATAAGAATATAAATTATGTAATTTATAAGAATAATAAGAATTATCATTTGTATAAATATCTAAAAATATTACACTTGTATCCAATTATTAATATATATGTATTTCATAATTTAAATATGCATTTTGAATAAAAATAATCACTTTTAAATACTTAAAAATTACTTTAAATATTAGAAATACAGATTTTGGCTTTTAAATTTTAGAATCATAGATTTTAAGATAATAAAACTTAATATATTTTACGTTAAATATAGTAGTTTACATATATATTTCTTTTTATTTATGTTATGTAAATATGTTTTAACATATATATTTTTATTTTTTATTATTATTTATAATTACTTATTTTTAATACAAATATATTTGTTTTTGTTTTTATTTTTTTTTTATAAAGAAAAAAAGTAATTATTGAAATATAAATCTTTATTTCACTAATCTTTTCAACTAAATGTCTTCAATAACTAAAAGACAAAGTATATATGAAAAAAAATCTGAACTTTACAATAAAACTGCTTCAAACTCTTCAGAAAATAATAAAGAACTTAATGTCTCTACTTTCAATGATAACAGAAAGAACAAGAACGATAATACAGTTAATAAAGTTACAAAAAAAACAAAAAATTGAAATTCTGAATCTTAATATTATTTTAATAGTTATAGAAACTCTAAATACTACTTAACTAATACTAACTATTATGCAAACCACTTCTATTACTCTCACAACAAACTTTATTTTTGAGGACTCAATAGTCTATGAAATGGAATTAGATATCATTAAAAAATAACATTTTCTTTCTTATAAGGCTTTAGTATAAATAATTCTATATACTGTTAAAGTTGAAAATTTGCCTTAGAAAAATGATCTACAAAGTCATTAGATTTAATTTTATGTAGATCATATAAGGAAGATCTTAATCGATATATTGCATTGGAAAATCAGGCTAATTTATTTAATTTGAAGGATTTACAAATTTCACCTGATTCGCCTGTCTCTCCTGTATTTTCCGTACAACTTATTTATTCTATTTATTCTGTTTTGCCTATAATTTTCTTAACATCTATAATTTATTTTATTTCTTTTTATTATTTTTATAGTTTACATTATTTTATTATTTTATTACGTTTAAGAATATTTTTATTAAGATATATATTTATATTTAGTTAATTTATAGTGTAGCAAGTAGTTAGCCATAGCAAATTCATTTTATATAAATAGAATAACTTTTTGCTTAAATTGTAAATTAATTCCTCTGCAAGTTTATTAACTCTTTGCAAGTTTCAAGTTATTAATAAAGAAATCAATTTAAATCTATACAAATTTACTTTTCCCTTCAATGTTGTCCTTCACCTAGGATTATTATAATATACTATACTAACTTGTTATTAAATTCGCTATTATGAGTTTGACTAATATATCTTAAATTTTAAGACGTGATAAATTGCTAAGCTGATTCAAGTATAACGAATACCTGTAGGATTTAGAAAAAATTCTAAGGTCAGAAACTCTAACGTGTAGAATTAACTGCTACAGCCTTTCAACTTAAACATTAAGATAAATGAAAATAAACCTAGCGATAATATGCAAAGAACATAATGAATGATAATACTTCATATTCATCTACCTCTATCATTAAAAAGAAAAGAACAAACAACTTTCTTAGACTGATCAAGTGGAAAGCAATGTAAACAAACCTAGCTAATTACATAACTCTAAATGTGAAAGATACTTCTACTTCTCTAATCATTTTTTTGCATCTGATGATACTGTAGATATTACTAAAAAATCTATTACCAATAAGCATAATTTTATCAACAAGCTTTTTGTTAACTTTTCTGGTTATCAGAGAACTTCATACAACTCTAAACTAAGAAAGTTCTTTGTTTATTTTCAAACCATTAATCAACTTACACATGCAGTTATAAAAATTCAGGAGACACAACACAATTCTATATTTAAAGTTGCTGATATATTTGCCAAGAAATAATGAATTGATATTGAAAAAAGGAAGATGCATTAAAGTCAATGATATTCTTTTATTTGTTAAATCAAATGTAATACAAAATTTTTCCAATAATGTGATACAATTGCTAGATTTTTTATAATTATCAGGAGCCCTTAGCAAATCACATTTATAGTATACAGATTACCTGATACTATTAAACTCTTTTATGATGACGTATGATTTTTACCATTATTAAATTTCATAGTTCGTATTGAACTCACTGATCTTGATGCCATGCAACTAATTTTATAATAACAATTTAAATTAAAATTAATTGGTTTACCATTTAATAAAACCTTTTTACCTTCCTTGATTCTATTAACGTAAAGTCATATTTCATTTTATGAGATCTCTAATATCATAATTATCTGTATACATATATTAACTTTAATAATCAAGAAGATTATGACACTGCTCTTAAATTTTAACATAAATTCAAATCAAACATATTATTTTAGATCAATCCTACTTAGTGTTAGGATCTGGACGAATCTGTGATCCATTTAATCCTATCTGTAATTAATTTTTAGATCTGGATATCCGTCACAGATTCACGAATTTATCTAAATAATCCGTCAAATACAATTCGAATGTATTATAGATTGCAGATTCGCAGATTCGCGAATTAATTTTTAATCTAATAAAAATAAAATAGTTTACATAGTTTTATTATAAGTTGATAATGTATAATGCTTATCTTTGTGGCTTAATATAGTCAGACCATCATTGTTCAACTAAAGGTAAAACATCTGTTAAATAAGTGGATTTTATGATAACTATTAAATATTTTAATAAAAATAAATTTTAATTGATCGCATGCAAATCAAGTAAATTTATTATTTAGAAATTGTAATACATATTAAAAAAAAAAACTATTATTTAGATTTAGAAATAGGTGGATGAATTGAAGGTAACATTTTAAAGTTACGTTTTAAAAATATAATTTTTTTAAACAATTCAGGATTCATCCTAGTTCTTTTTGGTCCTATCAAATTTCCTGCATCTGAAAACAATCTTACTGAAGCTGAAGATGCTGCAGGTACAGATAAGTATTTATACGCCAACACACTCAGATAGTAAAAATGATTTCATTATGTGTTCACCAAACAAAAGAATTTTCCTCCCAATCAATTTCATCTAGTTGTAAGTATTCTAATACTTCATCATTTACAACTTTCAGTTGAGATTTTTGAAATTTAGCAAAAATTGAATTTTTGTATTTAATTTTTGTTGGTGTGGAATCTGTAGAATCAGGAGAGATCAAACTTGGCAAAGATAAAGTTTCTAGCTTTAATTCTTCAACTTTATCACACAATAATTCCTCTGTTTGCAATTTAACTTGAATAGATACATCTTTAAGACTTTTTGTATGTGGATTTAATAAAGTAGCCAAAAGAATATTAGGATCTTGAAAATTCTAATATTGACACAAATTTTCGTAAAGTTTTTTCTTAACCAAATCTAACAAGCCAGATGTATTTACAGATCGATTTAAATCAACTTGATACTGATTGGATTCTTCTAAATCTTCATCATCAAATGCATTTTCATTATTTATTTCTTTTGTAATTGGTAATAATTGTGATTGTGGTAATTGTGGTAGTGAAGAAAATTGTAAATGTTATAAAGAATTCTTTAGTTTTTCTTTAATTTCTTCAATTAATAGATTTATAATACTATAAGTACAATAAGAACTACCACTCAAATAATCAGTTGCTTCTGCAAATGGTTCTAATATATCAACTAAATTTCATATCAAATCCCATTCTTGAGTAATAATCATTATTTCTTTTAACCTTTTAGAATCTTTTTTTGAATCTCTATCAGTTTCACATGCTAATTTAGTATTTAAAACACTTATTGCATCTTGAAGAAGCAAAAGCCTTTGCCATGCATAATAAGAACTATTTCAACATGTTTTACAATCTTAAATAACTCGTAGATATTTATCAGTTTTCTTTATTTCTTATTATATAAAAAATAAATACTTAAATTAGTTAAATTAAAATTTATTTTTATATTATTAATTTTAATTAAAATTAATTACCTCATTTTCCTTTCATTTTCATTTATACTTTTTTGAATATCCTCTAACCTTTTAGCTTGTTTAGGTTTTGAAAAAAAATCAATCAACCATTTTACTCTTGAGATTAATTTTTTAACTGGTATTAATCCTTTACCAATTACCAGCTACAATGTATATGAAGCACAAGGATGTCATTCTATTCCTCTCATATCTTTTACACACTTTTTAACGTTGCTTCCATTATCAGTTGTTATGGAATGTACTTTAGATTGTAAATTCCAATTATTAAGAACATCTTCTATAGAATCTCTGATATGTTCAGCGGTGTAATATTAGAAAGATTAAGAGTAATTTCATGAAGTTTATATTGTTGATCAATATATGAGCATATAATACCCAAGAACCCATATTGATTTCATGCTGTCCATAAATCCAAAGTAAGAGAAACAGAAGTAATAGATCATAATAAACCAACTAAAATCTCAAAGGTATAATTATAAGCAAGATGAATAATAACTCTAACACCTTTACAATCTAGTATATCAAATGCTAAATCTAATTCTTGAATAAGTTGACGAAAGAATTTATTTTCAACTATTCCTAATGGTTGAGTTGTATTAAGAATAAAGTTTACTAGATAGTGACGTAGTTCACGTTGCTGACTTTCTTTATATTTTTCAAAAACTTTGGTAGTTTGCTATAAAAAAATAAATATCTTTAATAAAAAATTTAAAATAACAAATACTTTTAATTTTTTATAAAAAAAATGTTATCTTAGATTTTTTTTTGTCTATCTGGAAGAAGCTCATGCTTATTTGACAAGTGATCAATACAATTTTTAGTAGAACCACCCGTTTTATACTCTTTTTTATATGGAGTATTTATATTCACTTTATTTAATTTGCAAGTTGCTCACTATTCACCATTACGAATTTCTGAGGTAAAAAACTTCTAAACCTAACTAGTTTTTTGTCTTTTTTTTACATTATTAGGATTTTCTAACAGTTCATTTTGATTTTCCTCCATAATAAAAAAACACAACGAAATTTGAAAAAAAAAAAAGCAAGAGAATATAAAAATTCTTTTATTGGTTATAAAATATAACCTTATTTTTTTTGGCTATCTTGTACAACGGATTAAAATAAAGTTTTTTTTTTATATAAATTCTCACTCATATTGATATATTTTATATAATAAATATTCTTACATTCAAAACCATAATGAATTTACATAATGAAAGGTCTTGTTTTTAATAAAAAAAAAAGAAAAAAAATTTAAAAGAGTGGCGTCAAGCAAAAACACAATTTAGTTCGTTTAAACTTTTAATTTTATAAATGATTTACATACTGTACTGTACATATCTCCTTTTACATAAATTTCAAAACTGGTTGTGTAACTGAACTTTAAGAATTTTCAATTTATGAAATTTTTTCAATTTTATTAAATCAATGCATAATCACCACTGATTTAACACTGATCAACCCTGGGTTTAACACTAATTAACCCGAGGTTCAACACCAATTAATCCTATATAGAAATTTATAATTTTTCTTAAATTTTACTTATGGATCATCTGGATGAATCCGGTTTTTTCATCTGGATCCATCCTTCATCTATCTGAAACTCTAACGGATGATCCAAATAGAGTTTTGAATTGGATAATCTGACGGATTAACAGATTGATTAGATCCAGATCTCAACACTAATCCTGCTGTACCTTACTATTATAGATATGGTAATTCTGATCATAAAACTAAGAATTGTATTTCTCAAAATTTTTAAACCTGTACTGGCAATTATATGATCATTTTAAACTAGCTGCTTATAGATCTTCTCAAAAGCTTAATAATCATCTAAACAATTATATTATAAATATACAAACAAATCAAAACTATTAAAAATATATGCGGATATTTTAAAATATTTAAACGAAATTAATAACAAATTGATTGCTCTTAATGATGAGATTATTACAGCGAAAAATGAATTTATTATTCTTTAAGAAAACCAAGAAGATATAGAATATTGCTTGACTAAACTAAAAAAATGTAACAACATAGTTTATACTAAAGGAGTATACAATAGTAAAATAGACTTTGATGATTCTTCAGAACCTTTATCTGAATCTTCATTCAATAGACCTCCTATGATTTCTTCAAATAATATATCTTCTTTAGATAAAGTTATTAATATAGAAAATCAATTTACTGAATTTTAATCTAAAATTAAAAATATCGTTAATAACATTCAACAGATCCTTTAAACGCTTTCTTCTTCTTCTAAATGAGTACACATTTAACGAATAATAATATAGAATCATATCAAATGATTTCTAATAATAATAATTCTCTTTCAAATAAATCTTTCACAAATATTATCAATAACCCAAATCTCATTTTCTTTGCAACACACAATGTCAGAAATTGTTCATCAGAATCCAAACTTCAAAATATTGATTCCTTTTTAATAACTTTAACATAAATATACTTAGTTTAAGTAAAACTCATCTTAACTCATTATAAATATATTATTTTAACAAAAATGTTTATAACAAACCATTTAAATATTTCTTTCATTCCTTAAATCATTTTTAAAATTATCAAAGTGTCAGATTAATAGTCTGTAATAATCTAAGTACACATATTTTTAATTAAGTTTCTTTTTTAATCATATTATATACTTTGATTTTCTTTTTAAAAACAAATTTAAATCTTGAATTATTTAAGTTTATTTACCTGCATCTTACTATGACAAATAAGATTTCCATTACTGTCTTCAAGTCCAAAAAAAACTAATGAACATTTTAATTAATAGTTTATATCATAATTTTCATATCATATTAATAGAAGATTTCAATATTAATATAAGTAGAAGATATAGATCTAAACTTCAAAAGCAGCTGCAGAACTTTCTACACAATATTTTTAATCTAGATTTATTCACACCCTCATCCTATTCCAATCCACTTACCCTTTCACTTTCCGTTCTTCTTCCTCTTATGATTCAACTTCTCATATAAATTATATATTTATCTCTACTAATATATCATATAATCTTACTTCCTTTTACATTCTAAATAACTCCTGTTTTCTTTATTTAACTGATCATTATCCTTTATTAGTTACTCTTTACAAAAAAAACTTTTTCTTCTAACTATCTTCAGTTTATTAAAAATAATAAAAATTACGAAATAATTCTTTCTTTATAATAAAACTACCTACCTTTATTAGAACTTTTTTTTCAGACAAAGCTAATCTACTTCTCAAACAAAATGCTAAATTTAATAATATCTCAATTCAGGATCTTTGCATTTCAAACATTTCATCAATAAAACCTAGGAGTTCTTCATCTAAATAATTATAATATCAGCTTCAAAATACATTCTAAAATAAACTATATTAACTCATCACAATTCCCTTTACTCATGTTTAAATTTCTCAATTCACAAACAAATCAACAAAATTCAGAAACTATATTACTGATGCAAAATTTTCTTCTTATTCCTTTTTTTCTCAATTTAACTTCCTATAATTCCTTCTCCATATTATCTACTAAACACAATTTTATCCTCAAAATTGCAACTGATCATCTTATTTCTTATAGTTCCATAGATGCTTATTATGATAACAATTGTCTTCTTCTATACTTACATGAACTAAAGTACAATATTCTGAAACTATTGTAAGCAAAATAACTCATTATCAGTAAATCAGAAAATAATGACCATATACATAAGTTCATTCAAAAATGTGTAGATAATTTTAAAGATACTTCTATAAAAATGATAGACTCTTTTTTAGAAAGAAATCGTAAAATTATTATATTAGATAGAATCTTAGTAGATTACAATACTCAGAATCAATATTTAGCTTTCAACTCAAAAGCTATCAAATTCTACACTGCTAAATATTTTCAAATAATTGCTGATTTTACAAATAGAATTGTCATTGATTCAAATATTAAAGATTTTTTCTTAAATTGATTTATTTAGAAATAATACTATGATCCTATTGATGAAATTTCTGATGACGTTTATAATACATTTATGGATCTCCTCTTAATAGATAAATAGAACAATATTATTAAATATTTACCTGACTAAAAAGCTTACAATATTATTTGTGTATGCTTAATCAATAAGTTTACTCTAACATAATAGAATTTAACTTTCATATATCCTATACTGAAGCCTAAGTCATAGAACTACTAACTCAATAATACTAGACCAATCACGTTATTTGAAATAGTCAGAAAAACATTTATCAAATTACTGAATCAATGGCTACAAAATATATTCGTTAAAAATAAGGTTATCAAAGAATTAAACTTCGCTGTTTACCACACTAATCAACACTAGAACCTCTGCATATAATTAATAATATTTTAGAATTTCACCATTTAAAAAGAAAAATGTTTGAGTACTAAAAATCAGACCTATACATACTCTTTTAAAATATGTCAAAAGCCTATAATCAAGTTAATATTTTTATATTAAAGAAAGCTTTATATAGACTAAAAATTTCAGATTATTTTATAATACTCATTACCAATTTATTTCTCAACAGGAAAAATAGTATTTTCACTTTATATGATAATACTAAGTTTTACAATGTCTTTGTCAGTATTGATCAGAAAGAGGTTATTTTTTCACTTTTATATGTTATCTATTATGGTCTTCTTCTCTCTCGTATACAAAAGTCCAATCTAGGCTATACATTAGATATTTCATGGTTATCAAATATTAACAAATTGAAAATAAATAATATTTCAACTTCCATCTCAAATTCAGCATATATGAATAATACAATATGGATTATTGATAGTCATTCTAAACTTAAAAACATTTTTAATATAATGCAGTCCTTCTTCAATCTCAACTCAATGTAAGTTAATTTAGAAAAATCTTTTATAATTACCTCTAAAGTAACTACTAATAATATTTCTTTCTATAGTACTTATTTAAATAGTCCAGTAATTATATTAACTAAGAAATCTAATAAATTAACTAGAAATTTAGATGTCTGGATTTTAGCTCTTTATAACAAAAAATTTGTAAAACAATAACTAGAAAATGAGATTACTGACTTTATTTTAAAACTCAATACTAAATCTATGACAGATAAATAGCTGAGATACTTTTATAACTAAGTATTCATTTCTTAGCTTGAATACCATTTTCAACTAATTATTTTTTCACACAAAGAATTCTTTGCTCTATTTTTTCACATTCGTTTATTTATCAAACACAAACTCAAATTCAATAAATGTACTCCTAATAGCATACTTTTAAATAAGTTATCATTTAGATTTAATGATTTAGCTTCTCATATATTGCATTCTAAGTTACAACATTTTACTTTAATTATTAACAGAGATACTTCAAGATCACTGCTTTTTCTAACCACTAAAATTTGTCTCAAATAACTTCAAAATTTTTCTGGTTACTAAATGATCCTATTACATATTGGCTAACATATCTAAAAAAATGTGAGACATGATAATTACCTTTATAATATGTTTATCTTTTATCTTCAGATTCCTTTCTTGATGCAAAAAACTGTTTCTATTACTTCTGATTTTCATATCCAAGGAGGTTCTATAACTCTCAACTCTTTTATTCCATAGAAGAAGAAATGGATTCCTTTACTGAAAAGATGTAGAGCTTTATTTCTTGACCAATTTATTACTCACAGAAATTTTTTAATAGAATATTATGACCTTTCTCTTAAAACTATTAATCTTAATAGAAGAGCTATCCTAGAATAGTTTATTGCTTTACAAAAAATTGTTCTTCTAAATCCCATACATTTAAACTGTCTTAAATCTGAATACTATATTAAATAAAACTTTACCTTCAAAGCTACATTACTGCTTCTATCTCTGACAATGGAAAAAAATCTTTTTGAATAGCTCTATGGATACCACTAGAACAAAATTATTATAATTTATTTTATCCTGGTCAAGGCATTATTAGAAAAGCTATCAGATCCTATTTTGTTTTTAATAAAGTTACTATATAATACTAT